ACAGTAATTTGGTTATCTTAAAAACATAAAAAAATAATGAAACTACTGAATATATGGCTATAGAACCTAAATGTCTTAGCTTTCTTTGGTTAACGAGAGTTTAAAAATTCTCTCTAATCTGTGGCTCATTCACAATCATCACACAGTTTCTGTCACAGAGTACCTTATTATAACCGGAAATGACACCTGATTTTAAAAGTTACTCTTATGCATTAACCTTACAAACAGGCAACTATCTGTTAATTTACATGCTCTATATACCTGAATCTAATCCATAATTTCGGTACTTGGCTTGATTTCCCTAGTTTACTATATAACTTATTTGTTTTTTATTATTTTATTATGTTCAGTGTATATGGTTTATAGAAGTTCTCAGGGGTGGCCGTCAATAATATTCGTTTCTACAGTAATTTATATATAATTTCGAATCTAGGAAACAATTTTTCATGATTATTGGTCTTTAGGCCAAACATGTATGGAAGCTGAGCAATCTCCTTTCAACTAAATCAACTTTGTAGATTTTTGCCCGAAATGTTTCATATTTATATTTTTAAGCATTTAACGGCTAGAGGTTTAAGGGCCGAAACACATAAGCGCGTTGCGGCGCCGCGCCGCTGAAATCGGCAGTGCGCTATAGCGGTGCGGCGCCGCAACGCACGACGCGAATTCCAGCGTTATGACGTCATACTTGTTGACAAGGATGCAGTTTGTTTCTAACACTCTTGCAAACAACACGTGTCAACCGAGAAGCAGTTTTAAAATTAAAATGTCTGACGTTGACGTCGATCTGTTTATATCTTCGGTTCAGGAACACCGTTGTTTGTGGGATACTAGTGACGAAACCTATAAAGACAAATTTATGAAACAAGAAGCATGGAAAAGCATTTGTGAGATCGTTTATGTTGATTACAAGGAAAAAAACTCAACCGAAAAATCAAAACTGGGTAAGTAGTAACATAGTATTGTCTTAGGTTTACGCGATCACTATTCACAATAAAACTACAATTTTTACTGTAGTAAAAACGTAAAAATCTGATCCGCGGTTTAAATTGTAAAAATTGTAGTTTAATGTAAGTAGCATGTATCTTTTTTTTTTTAATCATATGAAATACACCATTTATTTTAATGCCCTATGCAAAAGATTTTCTCTAAGTTAAAATTATATTTTTTCTCGCGCTCTTATTCAAAAAGGTAAACAAATACTATAAATAAAACCAAATTGCCATTTAAATTGTTTATTCGCAGTTCACAACATGTTAAATAGTTTGAATCAAATGTATTAAGGTATTATTTGTATTTTGAACTGAGTAGGTATACGAACATTCATATTTTGTTTAATTGCCAACTTAGGGCGCCAACATCACTGGAAAAGTAATTACAAAAATCATTCCGTATTAGATGTGGGCTTAAATTATTTTCATTTGCTGTGGGCAAATGCAACATTTGCAGATCAGAATCATCAAAGATAATGTCATCGGTCGCTTGTACTCCATCTCGATTCAAAACAAAGTTGTGCATTACACAACATGCCTTGATAATGTCTGTCGCAAATTCGTATTGCACATTCATAGATCGATGAAATATGCGCCATTTATTGGCTAGGATGCCAAAAGCGCACTCGACATATCTTCGGGCACGACTCAGTCGATAATTGTAAACTCTTTGTTGTACCGACAAATGTTTCCCTGAGTAAGGGCGCATGACGTTATTCGAAATTGAGAATGCTTCATCTCCTACAAAAACAAATGGAGTTTCATTTTGAGAACCTGGTAAAGGCTTTGGTACAGGAATAGGTAATTTGCGTGTCATAATCAAATCATAAAGTTTAGAGTTCTGGAAAACGGTGGAGTCACTTTCCTTGCCATACGCTCCTATATCGACAAAAATGAATCTATATCTAGAATCTACAAGAGCTAATAAAACTATTGAATTATAGCCCTTATAATTGTAAAACAGTGATCCACTGTGCGCAGGACATGTAATACGGACATGTTTACCATCAAGAGCTCCTATGCAGTTAGGAAAATTTGCTTTCTTGTCAAACTCAATAGCGACATCTTCTAGAACCTGTTTTGTTATAGGAGGTATATTTTGACTTGATAGATGTTTCCATATGGCGCGACAAACTGTCCTTACAATTTTTGCTATTGTACTTGCTCCTCGGAAGTAATTCGTATGCATGGTTTTAAAGTCACTGCCGGTTGCTAGAAATCTAAAATGAAATAATAATTAGTAGGCAAATAATAAAATAATACAAATGTAGGTATAATCAAACTCAAACTGCGCAGGTAATAGTGTTGCTAAAGGAATAGATTTTCAAAGATAGACAGGTAGTTTTTCAAAGAAGTACTCAAGAAATATTTTACATTATGGTTGTTCTAGGCAAAGTCAATCAGTTTTTAACTTGCCTAAGTCAAGAAAAAGCAGAAAATTGTTCTTTTTCGGCGGCCAGCCATTTATATGAAATTGGATGGACCGAAAGTACTTATGAAAGTTATATCAAATTTTATATGTAATTTTATATGTAGTATAAATGGAATCTAGGGAATTTTAGTCTTTATTACTATTTTTCACTTGTGAAGTTATTTGTTGCAGGTAATAATTTAGTCAAGAAGTGGAAGGCCATAAAAGATAATTTTGCTAAATATCAAAAAAAACTAAAAGATGCCAATCGATCAGGAGCTGGAGCTGCAAAAATTAAAGAATATCACTTGAATAAACAATTACAGTTTTTGAAAAAGGTTTCACAAAATGCAACTGATTCCAGTTTATGTGTAGCGGAAGGAAATATTGAGAATGAAATAACGGCATTGCCTCGTTATAAAAGTCAACCACGAAAACGAAAGGCAGATGATAAGGATGATATTGAAGAAGATTTATTGGCAATATTAAAAACACCGGAGAATAGACATTTGCATTTTTTCAAGGGGATTTTACCATCTCTACAATCGTTAAATGAGAATCAAACATTGATATTTCAAAGTCGGGTGCTTCAAATATTAACGGACATTCTTCAACCTTCAATTCATCAAAATACACATCACGGCTATAATCAAGAATATCAGCATCAGGGTTATAATCAAGGATATTCAACTATGAGATACGATAATACGGTTCAGAGTGGCTACCACACTTCTACTCCTGGAAGTTCGATTACTGAACAGAGGACTACCTCATCATCAAACCAACGTCCAATAAATTCACCATTTTTACTGGACGAAACGTCAGCTACTTCCTATGTTTCACAAGATGAGGAGTTTGATTTTTCTTAAATTGATCATTACATTTTTTAAGGCCTATTAAAGTATTCTTAAAGTAAGAAAATTGTATAATGCAAAAAGCTTAATTTGATTCTGTCTTGTTTCATTTGAACCTGGCTTTGTACCACTAGGTACCCCCAAACCATGAACACTAGTGATGCAAAATTTTTATCGACACCCCGCTAGTACCACAGGTGTATAAAGCCAGGGGTACAAATAAAACTAAACATTTGATTCCGAGTGCCATAAACATCAATAAAAAAAAAATAAGAAACCTATTTGTTTTACCTTAAAGTTAAGCCCAGCATTTCCAAAGCAGTAACTGGTTTCCTTCCTTTATTTTTTTTCTTCTGTATATATTTTGATAACTCGCTTAATAGCTCTTCAAATGATGATATACTCATTCTAAAGTAGGCAACAAATTTTTTTTCGTCTATCTTTAATGCTTCGTATTTTTTAGAAAAGAACTCGCCATTTGGATTCATACCCTTACTTAATGGATGTATCCAGTATCTTCTTTGCCGTATTTTTAAGATAGAATAATGTCTTCTTAATAACAAATAAGCAATAAGTTTATTACGATCCATCGCAGAGAGACGTCTATCCACACTCAAAAATCACGAGAAAATGGTTACCCTACCATAATGCCCTGTTTCGCGACGCCGCAACGCGGCAACGCAACTGCCGATTTTGGCGTTGCGGCGCCGCAAAAATAAGCAGTTTGCGTTATGTGTTTCGGCCCTAAATCTAAAGAAAATTTTTATAGAGAATAAAAACCACGCGGACCAGGCAGCAGACGGGACTTGAACCTGCACCCTTCACTATCCGGGAGGGCGAATGCACTGACCATTATTCTGCCGGGGCCCTGATGGCCCTGTCGAAGTTTCTCTAGTATTTTTTAGGCTGCAAGGCAGCGTCATTTCTTCGCATTGTAGGTAACCCACAATGTCAAATGAATACATTTACAAATATTATACATTCGAAAGGCGGGCGATATAGCAATTATAGTTATATTTATAAGTATTTAACTGCTATATATGTTTAAATCTAAAGAAAATTTTGCAAGAAAAAAATCCACGCGGACCAGGTAGCAGACGGGACTCGAAACCCGCACCCATCGCTTTCCAGCAAATGTACTGACCATTATGGTACCGCGGCTCTGATGATTTATTACGACTACCTACTAATATCAAATTTAAAAGACTGATTCAGATGTATATTGTTAAATATAAAACTAGCTGTCCAGCGAACTTCAAACCACCATAAAAAAATAGGCGTTGGCGGTAGAAGGGTGAAAATTTAGGGTTGTATGTATTTTTGTATGATGTATCAAAAAAATAAAAATTGACCATAAAAAAAAGTGTGGACCATCCTTAACGTTTAGGGGGATGAAAAATAGATGTGCGACTCTCAGACCTACTGCACATGCATATAAAATTTCACGAAAATCGGTCGAGCCGTTTCGGTGTAGTTTAATTACGCACACAGTGACACGAGAACTTTATATATTAGATTAATGTGTATTTGGATACACAATTTTTGTTTAAGGTATATTTATTGAAGAAGGGTAACACTGAGGCCATTTTAAGAGTAAAATTAAATTGAAACCTGCTTACTAAACTGGGCCACACCACCCTGAATCGTGTCATATCTGTCATGTCTATTATCATTACTGCTCTAAATGACCTTCACGTCCGCCACAGTTTAAAGATTTAAATACTTTTTAATTTTTATTTTCAGTCTAATTGGCACTGATGCTTTGGCTAGAGGAATTGATATACCTGATTGTAATTATGTTATATCATATGACCCACCTAGGAATATAAAAACATACATACATAGAGTTGGCAGAACTGGTCGAGCAGGACGTTCAGGATGTGCTCTTACTGTTCTCCAACATAACCAAATAAATATGTTCAAGGTAAGCACTTCTCTTCTGTACATTGGAAGATCCCATTAACCATAACAAACGCGTCACTTAAAATAATATCGGACTATGTTCAGCATGAATCCATACGTGGTCTTAATTAATACTCCTGTGTCAAGGAGATGTGACATTTTAAAATGCGCGCCAATCGCAAGGTTTTAGAAAAAAATATTTTTTGGAGGCGATAAGATAAAGACTGCTCTTCGACATTAGGTCTATTGGTAGACCGCTTAAACGGGGAGAGTCACCCGGATCCCACGAAACCCGTTCCGGCAGGCGAGGAAGCACTGTTGGGTTTTTAGTGGGTAGGCCCCCCTCATCCCGAGCAGCCGCTGAGCCAGTTTGGCTGAGCGGGTGGGCGTTATTTGGGAGAGGAGGAGTCCCACAACCTCGTCTCTCACCCAGGGGCGGGTTATGCGACACGCATTTTCTCAACAATGAAAATAAAGTGAGTCCTCGCCTGCGGGGTAAAGGGTTTAGGTGAGTATGAGAACGAGGACCGTGAGAGGTGCGGGAGGCAGGCATAGACAAGTGCTCGCCGCCCGCAGCTCTCACGGTCCCCGTTCTCGTCCTCCCACACATCCTTTACTCCCCGCAGGAGAGGACACAGTTTAGCGGTTTACATGTAGTTCTGAATGTGGTGTGTGCAGAACATAATAATAATGCATTTGGAACAAAGTTAGGTTAGGTTAGGATTATATTGTATTATATACTTTTTAAACTTAATCATGATAAATAGGTACTGAGCTGCCAAAATGTAAACAATCTTTTTGGTCTTTGTGTAGCTTAGGGCTTGCCTTAAGCGGGAGCACGTAGCGGGCGTCCGTCGTCATCCGCTGCATGCTCCATCGCGGGACCCGCGAGAGGCGAGTGCCTCTAGCAGCGCCGCCAGTAGAATTTAGATGTGCGGGTGAACAGTCGATAATGGATTATTTTTGTTGAGAATACTACTCAGTTAAAGGAGAACGCAGACGAAGGCACAGAAGATAGCCAATGGAGAGTGCACTGTCGCCCGCGCCGCCTGTGGCGGATCTATGAAACAAACACGCCCGCTCCGCACCCCTCTTAACGCAGCTCACGCTCTACATCATAGATGACTGTTGTCGATTCTGACATGATTTTCTAAACTAAAAACTAAATTAGAAATCAGTCTTTCCTTTGCATTCTGTATAGAGAAAGCTCTACGATACAACTGTTGTCAATAATCATGCCAGAATCGACACCAATACCTACCTATACAGCAAAAAAAAATTGAGATAACAGATACATTTTTTTTTAAGGAATTATTACAAACTGGTGGTAAGTCAGTATTACCTCAAATCAACATAAAGCCTGAAATAATTGAGGAAATTTCGGAAAGCTATCAATTAGCATTACACCAAACCAAAAGTGCTATTAATGATGAAATAAACTCAAAAGTGAAAAAGTCAATTGAGGTAAAGCGGGGATTTAAGGCAAGGAAGCGAAAACTTGAGTAAAACTATGACTGCTGTGGTTATAATAAAAATTATTCTTGTGAACTTTTGTTTCATTTTGCCAAAGTGTAAATATCATTATATACATGCATTGGACTCTTAAGTTGATTTTATCAAAAAATATAAAACTTACAATTAATCATAGCTATACGGCACTGGGCCCGCGTGGTGGGTCATGGCCCAATCTCCCTATTCCTTCCATAGGGAAGGCCTGTGCCTCAGCAGTGGGGACATTAATAGGCTGATGATGATGATGATACCTACAGATATTGCGTCTCATGATGGATAAATTTATTCTTATTCTTTGAGTGGTTGGCAATATATTTATATTTCACCGGGTCTTTGGCGAGGTTGAAGAGCTCTGCGGCACATGTGATTCCGGTCATCACATGACCTAAATAAGCAACTTTTCTCCTTTTGATGGTCTGAATCGGCTCAGCTTTCCATTAGTTGTGGTTGAGCGAGCTAAGATTTTTGTCACGGAAAGTATTAATTATTAGGAACACACACACGAAATCTTTTTATTCGAAAACGAATAGAACTCGAGAAAAGAAATATTGAAAATTAATGTTTTTGTAGGTTAAAGTCAATTTTGACAGCCATTTTGATCAGTGCTGCCATTTTTTCATGCAGAAATAACATGTTTCTCGTTGTCTATGGTAAAAATATGTTGATTATGTTGGTACTATTGTCAAAATGACATATGTCCCGCCGTTTTGTGTTTGTTTTGAGAAATTTCAGTCAGTCTGTTTACGTCGGTAAAAAGTATATTTACTATTATTTACTTGGTAAATAAGAAATTGTATGGGCTCCACACTTAGAAAAAAAGGTAAATGTGGCATTACAACAATCTTTAATTCAGAACCGAGGTCAACCGCGACAACATAGAGAAAAGTAATACACTGCCCGACACGCCGTGGTCTTGGTTGCCCTACCCCTAGAGTGTTTTTTAGAGCCCGGAGGCGCGTAGGGAGAGCAGCCCCCGCCTGCTGTGATAAAGCCGCAAGCATCGTGCGACCCGTAGCGCCTGAGGCTGGTCGCCGCCGGAGGTGGCGACCAACAAGCCGAAGGTGTGAAGGAGAGTGATGCTTGTGACTTTGTCACGCAAAGGCGGCGGGGCTGCTATTCCCGCAGCGCCGGAGATAAGGCAGAACTACTGGTTTTTACTTCCCTAGTCCTTGCATCCCCCACAACTCAAATGCTACACTAACCAACTTACTTTACTCTTTGACACTAACTACACGTTTATGGAGTAGGCTTGTGGAAAATATATCGATATTTATCCACCCCCCCCCCCCCCCCCCTCCCAAGTCATCAAAAATAAGCAAAGCAGAGACCCCCTGCCCCCCTATAGTGCTTACGTAATACTTGAACAGCCCCTAATCAATATCGTGCATATATAGTGCAGTCATTGAAGCGAAAAATACGGTCTTACCTCCGAATTTTTGAAGTTATACTTCTTTAGGCGCGTTATGAAAAAATATGTTGAGAGTGAAATTTTAAGATGCGCGCGCATCATGTAACACAAAATTTTTACAGCATGAAGTTGGTCGCTTTAGCGACCAACTTCATGCGTTACTTTTGTGTTTACCGCACATTAAGAAAATCTACCAACAAAATAGAAATAGAATCTCTATTTAGTGGGTGCTAACGACTGCATTGTGAAGGCCTATCAAAAGTATTTATTAATCTGGAACAACGGAACCAAAGCGCGATTCAGGAGACTACAGCGCCATCTCTTGACCATTGGTGTAGTACAACCAAAAGCCACATCTTTATTTTTTGTAATAAAGTAACAGTTATAGGTATTCATATTTATAATATTTATCCACATGTTTCTAGTTTGTATATTCGGAATACGTGTTTGAGTTTCATACAAGTGCAAATCACATTATGTTCTAATAAATTATATTCAGTAGCCATTTTAAGTGAAAATTTTGATTATTTATTTATTTTTTCAAATTAAAACTGAACTTTATTGACTGTGTCCTTTTCCAGACTTTTTATTAATTTATTGTAATTAATTATTTGCATGCAATTAAAAACTAATTTTAAACGATGCCAAAGAAGGATAACTTCTCACGCGCCTACATAAGTACACGCACCCATTATTTTTTTTACTGTGAACCGATTTGCATGAAATTTTGGAATTAGGCTCATCTTACCCTTAACTTCAAAAGTGAAAATGATCTGAACTCCGCCTATTATTTTTAAGAGGTGTAAACAACCACTTAATGGAAAAATTGACATTGAGCCATTTTATCGCTAGAAAACATGTCTAATAGTAAGTGGTGAAATTGTAAAGTATTTTCTAACATAATTACCTCATATTAAAATCATTTTCAACCCATTGAAAATCTTACAACCCTTGCAAACAACCCCTAAATTGAAAAAATCAAAAAAAAATACTTTGGTATGACATAAAAAGATGTAAGTATAGAGTAAGTAATATTTTATATTCTCTATAATAATTATCAAATTTTTAAAATTGTTAAATTTTTTTTTTGATAAAATGAAATGGATTTAAATAATATTCCACACTCTCGAAAATGATTATCATATTCTTAAGCTTTTCTACCCTTAAAACTACCCCTAAATTAAAACAGTAAATATATATGATTACGTATATAAAAATAATTTATAATTTAGAGTAAAAAATTGCCATTTATTGAATAAAATATTTACAAATTATATAAAATTGTACTATTATTAAAATATAATATTATTATTCATGACTCAATGTCGGAGTCGCTGTCACATTCAACATCTTCTGGCTGAATTGGAGGGCTATTTTGACAGTTATCTCCACTGCACCTTCCACAGTGCTCTATCTATCTTGCTATCGTGCTCTTTGAATAGTACGAACGTCAATACTAGTAGAATATATTTTCATTAGATTTTTGGATAATATAATTTTATGGAACAATTTTAATAAAATATTATTAAAATACAGGTTTTTTATCTACTTACATCTTTTTATTAAACAAAATGTATTGAAATTGGGTGTCTAGTTAAAATATTATATTAAACACGTGCTCATTCCTTTGCAGACGGAAATATACTGGTCTCATTATAAGGAATAAACGGAGCACGCACAGCTGATCACATGGCTTTTTCGTTGGCCCCTTCACTCAAATGTGTTATATATACATATAAGAACGATGGTATGTATTCATGCCTACGTTTCCAAAATATATGAGCCATATTATGTATATATATACACATTACAATAGTTGTGGGTCTCTATTATACTGCGTACATTGCTCCAAATATTCACACTCCGAAATTTTTGAAGTTATACTTCTTTAGGCGCGTTATGAAAAAATTATGAGAGTGAAATTTTTAGATGCGCGCGCATCACTGTAACCCAAAAGTAACAGCATGAAATTGGCCGCGGGCGCGTTATGAAAAAATCATGTGAGTGAAATTTCGAGATGCGCGCGCATCACTGTAACACAATAGTAACACCATGAAGTTAGCCGCGGGCGCGTTATGAATGTTAGTGTCTAATAATGGTGGATTATTAACCACTTAGTGGTTAATAATCCACCATTATTAGACATCTGTTCGAAAGGTACTTTGAACGATCCACGGAGCTCCATTAGATGATCGCGTTGTCAAAAACAATGTTGGCACGCTCGTCGCCTCTGATCACTGTTTTCATATTTATAATATTTATCCACATGTTTCTAGTTTCTATATAGACACAACGTGTTTTAGTTACTTACAAGTGCTAATTACATATGGACTAATAACTTAAATTCAGTAGTGATTTTAATTGAATATTTTGAATATTTATTTAATTTTTCAAATTAAAACTGAACTTAATTGACTGTGTTAACTATCCTTTTCCAGTCCTTTTATTATTTTATTGTAATTATTAATTATTTGCATGCAATTAAAAAATATTTTTAATGATGCTAAAGAAGTATAAAGGGCTGTGATTGCGCTGCCACGCGCTCTTTAAACAATCATATCTCCGTCAATTTTTGTTTGACAGAAAAAACAAAAAACCAAATTGTTTGTCAGAAAAATACCTAAATTTTTAATCCATACACTTTTCTACGTATCTGTCGTCATTTTTGAGATATTATGAAAAGAAAGTGGGTTTTTTAAAAAAATGAAATTTTGTTTTTGTTTTTAATCGTGATTTTTTTGAGAAATGTGTGTCCTAAAGCAGCCAAACTGATACTATCTATCAAACTTTTCATAATAAAGTTAATTCTAGGCGGAATACGATTAATTTTAATTTTGGTGGAAATGGCACTTATGAAACCCATTGATTTAAAAGAAAAAACATTAGATGCTCCCCTTATTTGCAATACAGCTCATTTATTTTACGTGCAAAAGATTTTTAATAGTGCTCAGTTTAAAGCTTATTCCAAGCACTACAAAACCATTTTGTATAAGAATGCATAAAATGCATCTGCTCGCCGCTAGATGGCATTGACCACATCGATTAAATTTCAGACACAATAAAAAACGGCTTTGATCTTTATATCCGATATCTAGCTTATTATTGCATTTAGAATACTTTATAAAAAACCAAATTGTTTATTGTTTTACCTGCTACAATTTTGTTCTTTATAAAATTTTCGATAAAACGTATATTTTTGGAGATATTTGCAAAAAACCGATGAAAAACGTGAAAAAATTGCGAATTTTCAATTGCCTATAACTTTAAAAGTATTGGATTTTT